TCTGTACAGGGTTATTAGGCTGACTAGCTAATACATCCAAATCTGGTCTTCCCAAGCAGAAATCTTGGCCAGAATGCTACAACCTTACATGAAATCTAAGCACATTCAGATCACTGTATCAAAGGAGGACTCCCATTTAATTGTCAAATACATGACTTCTACATCACAGCTTCAGAATACTTTAAAGACAGAAATACTTCCCCCCTGCTAACTGACATGACAGAGGAGAAACAAAATTTAGTCTGCCAGTTCCAGTCCAGCATGGGTCATCCTTAAATTTACAGCGCCTACATAGCATCTTGTTTGGCACAATAATGCCAGCATATAAAACCAAGAAAACAAATACTAAATTTCAAACAGGGATGTGACAAGTAGTAGTCACTAAGAAGATAAAAGTAATAATTGCAGGAAAAATATAACTGAACTATACCCCCTACAGTAGCAGATTAAGTCACCTGTAACTGTACAGCAGTATGGGGGAAAAAAAAAAGAAACGAAAACAAAACTGACATGAATTTTAGCAAAAATTATAATAATCAGAATCCGGTCTTAGAACCCAGTACTTCCCTTTGTAATCTACTGCACTCTGCTTATTGGTATAACTCCTTTGGAGGCAGAAATAATTCTTCAAATCATCTGTGGGAAGCACAGGATCTACTTGTTAGTATACAAGTTTGACACAAACTGAGCAGAACAGTATTTTTTATTGCCCTTTTGGCTAACTCACATGAGAATCAGAAACAGTATAGACAAGGTAAGGGCTCTAACAGCATTTAAAACATCCTTTTAAAAGCATTTTCAAAAAATCTCATTTTTGATAGACTTTTAATCAGGAATGTGTTCTGCAAAGTATTTTACTGTTATCCAATGGAATTTGTGCTGGAAGACAAAAGGATCTGTGAAATTATTTTACATTTTCAGCTCCTGGGAATACCTGGGTGCTGAATAGAAGAGGTGGCTACAGAATCCAAGTTCTAATGGAACTTAAAACAGTGCAGTTTCAGTTGTCTACTTGTGTTTTTGAGAATTTTAAGTGCTTTGTGAAATATATGTGAGGTTGAGTTTTTTCTTTCTTTTCATTTTAACTCATACTTACTATCAGAGACAATTATATTACACATGTGGATTTGTGAACCTTTTAAAACTATAACGTTGATTTTGTCTCTCCTCTTAAAACTACCGATACAGAAATGCACCATATGGCAAGAAAGCATAGGAAAGGTGATTACAGAAAGCCCAGGTGATGCCAATAAGAAAATCTAGCCAACAGAATGTGCTATATAATGTAAATGTATCTTATTTTTTCTAAATTCCATTCTGATCATTTAAGTGTTAATTAGTTCAGTCAAAGGGTTAATACAAATAGTTCAAAATTACTAAACACTGAAAAATATTTTCTTCTTTTTGTTCCAATTATTCTGTATTATTAATTAAGCTGTTAAAACATGCAACAGTTACTATCTTTTTAATGTTCAATAACATGTAAACTCTTTAAAGAGATTTTTGTTCCACGTCTCTGCTTTAGATATTAATCAAGAAAATAATTACAGAGGAATTTAGTAAAAAAAAATCTACATGCATATAACTATGTACTGTACATGTACGTTCAACAAGGTCCAATTAGTTGGAAAGAATTTGCATTTCAGTTAGTATGAGCTAACAAGACTGTAGGGAGACAATGAGATTCCACTAGCAGGGCAAGAAAGAATGGTGTTTTTCTGTAGGCATTAATTCCCATAACTGATAATTTTAAAATGTTACTGATCTTTACAGTATTTGTTTTTCAAACATCTAGGAGTTCAGTATAAATGTTTATATTAACTGTACATGCAGCAGTGTCCCTGAGATTACTCCCAGGGAAAAAAAAAAAAAAACCAACAACAAACCAAAAACAAAAAACCAAAAAAACCAGGGAGCACAATTTATTATTTCTGTTGATTTAATATTTATGTTTCTATTTGATAATAATTATCAATTGATTATTCTAAAGGAGAATTCCTTATATTTGGTATTCATTCTCTGGATTAAAAGTATTGGAAAGTGATACAGAAAAATCTGCATGTCTTTTTATGCAAATGTTCCAATTTTCACTTGTAACGATATATACACACGACATACACAGCTGGTGATCTCATATCTCTCTATACATAGTTTTCCTAAATCTCTGTACCCTTGACTGACTTACTGGATAGTACCTGTAATTCCCAGAGTTCATTTTGCTGCAGATGTTAACAGTTTCTGTAATTTGTAATGACAGTAAACTGGCCTTTGCTCTTCCCTTATTCACTATTCATTTCTAGGCTTGGTTAAGTAGATAGCTGGGTTAAAGATCAGTGGTTTTTCATGTGACACATTCTGGTATTGATCTAATAGCTCATCAGGACAAAACTGTCCCTGTTCTTGCCAAAATAATGAAAATGGTCCTCCACATCGCATGACAATCAGCCCTTGCTTGCGCTAAAACAACCAAGTTTATATAATTGAGCTGTTTTAAGGACAT